GTGAGTGGTGCCACCGAATTCAGAAATGTAGAAATCTCGTGTGTGTTTTCCCGGAAGGGCTTGGGCCAGGTTTTTATTTTATATGAACAACATCATGTCCCCCGGAGCCCAACTAGGTTGAAAAGGAAGGCTGGCGAAAATTTTTTCCCTATAAAATATCGAGGTCGAAGGAGCCCGCGAAGTTTTTTTTGAGGCTGGGTCTCGAGCGAAACGCTTGTTTTTCAGATGTGTTAGGAAAGTCTCGAGCGAGACGCAGGGGTTTTGCAGAGATGTGGGATGTCTCGAGCGAAACGCTTGTTCAGAATTTTTGAGGATGTCTTCGACGACACCTGGTTGGCAGTAGCCAGACCTCGGACGCGGAAAAGCGGCCCCGCGCGAAGGAATGACCGAAATTTGAAAGTCTCCGACAAATTCCGGTAACTTTTGTACGATTTCCTGGAATTTTGGCAGGATGTCTCGAGCGAAATGCACGACCCCACCCTAGCACGACCATACCCCAGCACGACCACACCCCAGCACGACCAGACCCCAGCACGACCCCACCCCAGCACGACCCCACACCAGCACGACCATACCCCAGCACGACCACACCCCAGCACGACCCGACCCCAGCACGACCCTCCCCCAGCAAGACCACACCCCAGCACGACCACACCCCAGCACGACCTCACCACAGCACGACCACACCCCAGCACGACCACGCCCCAGCACGACCACGCCCCAGCACGACCACGCCCCAGCACGACCACCCCCAGCACGACCACCCCCCCAGCACGACCACCCCCCAGCACGACCACCCCCCAGCACGACCACACCCCAGCACGACCACACCCCAGCACGACCACACCCCAACACGACCATACTCCAGCACGACCACACCCCAGCACGACCACACCCAGTCGCACCCCCGTGGAATGTTTCGGGGGGTGTCTGGTTGAGTGGTTGCCTGTTCGTGGGGTGTCTCGTGGAATGTTTCACGGGGTGTCTCGTGGAATGTTTCGTGAGGTGTCTCGTGGAATGTTTCGTGAGGTGTCTCGTGGGATGTTTCGCGGGGTGTCTCGGGGGATGTTTCGTGAGATGTCGCCCAGTTGGGTATCGTGAAAACGTGACCATGCTGCACATGTCTTTATCCATGCTAAAGGTTCCCTACCCATCATTTGGACCCTGACCCCGCGGATCTGCGTGAGGGGTGGCACCGAATTTCAGAAATGTGGCAAATCCCTTGTGTTTTTGGACCCTGACCCCGCGGATCTGCGTGAAGGGTGTCGATTTCGAGCCCCCCCAGCAATTCAGACAACGCGCCCAGGGGGTGCTAAAAAATCCCGTTTGGGCCTCCCCCCCCCTCGCGCGGTCAATCAACTAGTTACAGTAACCAGCAAGAAGCAGAACTGTAACACTGGAAACTACAACCTACGACTGGTACAGGAAACTGCGAACCTCGCGCCTACAGCCTGGTGGCCCCACAAGGGGGCCGGCGGATATATATATATATATATATATATATATATATATGTATGTATGTATGTATATATGTATATATATGTATACATATATGTGTGTGTTTACATGTATTTACACATTATATACACAAGACTACATTGTCGCGTCGTGCCATGCACCTGGATCCGTCACGTCGAGCATGCAGGCATAATGAGAGAGAGGTCGGTACATCAAAACAGCGATCGCTATTGGTTGCAGTTTTCGCCATCACCCTTATATTGATGTTCCATCTCATTCCCTCAGGTGTTCTGTGTCTCTTCGTCTTCCTCGTTCTCGCCTCAATTGCCTAGCATACCCTGCCCCGTCCTCTTCTGATTTGTTTGCGGAGGCTCCTTCGAGGGGAGCTTCTGAAGGACCTCGCGAAAGCTTTTCAGGGCTTCCATGGTCGCCTCCTGAGACGTCCCTGGCGCCTTTTAGCGGCCTCTGAGGGGTACCTCGGGCCACCATGCTGCGAACTGCGGTCTCGGGTGACGGTGTGAATGCTTCCGGAGGGCGTCTTGGGGCAACGTGGATTCTTACCATAACCAGCAACCCGCCTCTCACTACAATTCCTACGACGGACGCCCCGAAGACCGAACAACCGAATATCCCAAAGTAATATAAAAACCAACGGGAAAGTAACCTTTCCTGCGTGTCGAGAGCCTCCTCGGGGTGATATTTGGGCCGTCTTCAGGCGTCTGACGGGGGTGCTGGAGGCCATCTTGGACCGTCTCGAGGGTCTCTCGGGGCCGCCGCCGACCCGTTTGCACGGCTTTGTAGGGGCTTCCAGAGGCTTGGAAAGATCGCGGGACCCTCTGAGGGGGTGCCCAGAAGCCTCGAAAGCCGGGGATTCCGTTTCGAGGGGGGGGGTCCGCCCCCCCCAGATCAATATAAATAAATGAAACGGCAGAATAATTAGGAATACATGTACACAAGATGTTGAATGCTCCTTCCGCTGAGCCCTCAACATTGGCTCACGCATCGCCCATCGCCCATGGGGAGTGAGAGGCCCAAGGAATACTGGGAGCGGGAATCGTCGGAGGATTTGGGTGCACGGGAGGGGAGAAGCAGAGGCGAGAACGAGCCCTTGCCACAACGGGTGTCTTTATTACCCTTCAGAGGGCCCATCTAGAAAAGCAAAGGATTTGTCACTGCGAGACAGAGTAATCCCGCAGGTGCCCTGTCGTTCTTGCAATGGCAAGCCCAACAGGAGCGGTTGCCGACACATCTGCTAACAGCACCTTTACGCCTGGAGGATGAGGGGATAATAGGGGGCGTGCGGGGGGGCAAGGATGAAGAGACGAGAGTTGGAACATCAATTAGTGATGGGGGTAGGAAGGTGGCGGACGGGGGGTCGTCCAGCTCCTTTTCCCGGTGCTCTTTTTCCAGGCCCAGGGTTCTTTTTTAATAGGTTTACCCCGGAATCGACTTGAGGTGGGCCGGCGAATTTCATTTGCAAGCAAAAACAAGGAAAGGATGGGCCGGCGAATTAAACATTGAGGATGTCCCGAGCGAAACCCTTGATGTGCAGAAATTGTTGAGGTTGTCTCGAGCGAAGCGCTTGTTTTGTGTAATATTTTCTCTTCTTGGGGACCAGAATTCAGAGGATCTCTCAAGTGAAATGCTTGTTTTCACGTGCCCAGGTCTTGAGGATGTCTCGAGCGAGACGCTTGGTCTCACGCGTCCAGGTTGCCCAGGCAGATGTCTAGCATGAGATGATTTGTTGAGGAAGTCTCGAGCGAGACGCTTGTTTTCACGCGTCCAGGTCGCCCAGGCGGATGTCTAGCATGAGGATGTGCTGAGGAAATTTATATCGAGACGCTTGTTTGCGCGTGTCCAGATTGCCCAGGCGGACGTCTAGCATGAGGATGTGTTGAGGATATCTTCAGCGAAACTCTTGTTTTCACGTGTCCAGGTTGCCCAAGCAGATATCTAGCATGAGGATTTGTTGAGGATGTCTCGATCGAGACGCTTGTTTTCACGCGTCCAGGTCGCCCAGGCGGATGTCTAGCATGAGGATGTGTCGATAACATCTCGAGCGAAACGTTTGTTTTCACGTGCCCAGATCACCCAGGCGGAAGTCAACATGAAGATGTGTTGAGGATGTCTCGAGCGAACCTCTTGTTTTCACGTGTCCAGTTCGCCCAGGCGGATGTCTAGCATGAGGATGTGTTGAGGATGTGTTGAGCGAAACGCTTGTGTTCACGTGTCCAGGTCGCTCAGGCGGATGTCTGGCATGAGGATTTGGACAGAATGTCTCGAGCGAAACGCTTGTCCCCAGCACGTTCCGTAGCGCGTCCCCTTGTCACGTCCCGCGGTGCGTCCCCATGGCACGTCCTCATGGCACGTCGCTTGGGGCGTCCCTTGGGACGTTCCGCGGCGGGTCCTCCTGGCATGTTCCCCTGTGCTCAGGCAGCTCGAGCTTAAGATCCAGATCAGTTCGGTCAGGACTCGGATGCAAAAGAGGACTCGGTCCACAACGCTACAGAGCACAATCGCGGCATGGCACATCGCAGTTCAGCACGGCGCAGCACAGCACAGCCCTCGGCACTGTACACCCAGATCGATGCACTCAGCACCGCATTTGCCCGTCGCCCAATCAGGTGTCTTTGAAAACGCTGCCATGCCTCACGTGTCTGTATTCCTTTCCGGGCTCGTGGGTCGATCATGTTGCGTTCCCTCCTCCCCCCCTTCCCATGTTCCTCCGCCCTCGGCGGGGCAGTCGCGCTGCTGACCCCCGACGATCCGTCCGCGGAGCTCGCACCCCGAGAGCCGTGGCCTCTGCCTCCGCCCCGCAGTTTTGTTGGCCCCGCCGCCCTCGCTGCTTTCTGAACGGGCGCGGGCGCGCCCCCGTCGGCACGGACGGGCCCGAGGATCCGTCTGGGGTGCCGGGGTAGAGGGAAGCCAGCGGTGGACCGTCCCCCTCTCCCCCAAAAAATTCAGAGCTGTCACGCGCTGGGAAGGCTGCGGTCGAAGCGCACACCTTCCCAGGGCGCCGCCGGGAGGACGTGCGGGTCGCGTTCCAAGCAGCGGGGTTTCGAGCAGGGGATCGACGACAGTATGGATATGCCCCAAAGTTGACTTGATCGTCGATTCCGTGAGACATGCGTAGGGCGTTCGTAGGCCTACGAATTTTCTATTCATGACTCGACGATGACATCAATTCTGGGATAAATCGATTCTGTAGTCGGTCCCCTACTCGAAGTCCAGGGAGCCGATCAAGACTTCGACTGCACCCCGCGGGCTCGGTCCTCTCAAATCCCAGACCCCCGACGTCATGATTTTTTCATGATCTCGACCCCAGCGGTCTGAACCCATTCCCCACGACCTGTTTTTCATCCTGAGTCGTTTTCTGACAGTCCTGAGGCCCGGTGGGGGCCTCCAGAGGCCGAAAATAGCAAAAAACCTCCCGTCGCGATTTTTCCATGACTCCAGCGCCCGTCAGGAGGAGGAGGAGGAGGAGGAGGAGGAGGACGAGGAGGAGGAGGAGGGGGTCTGGGATCCCGGCCCCTGCCCGTCAGGAGCCCCAGCGCCCAGCGGCGAGCCCCGCCAAGCGGAGGCCTCAAAGTGGGGGCCGCCGCTTTGCCCGCGCGCGGTCTGCTCTCCAGCGACGAGCCGCGGGGGAAAGGGATCGTCCAGCAGGGGCTCCCGGGAGGCAGAGCTCCGACACCCCGACAAAATTGGAGCAGGCGTGCTGTTGCTGTTTTTCGGCCTCCAGGGGCCCTCGCCGGGCCTCGGGGCCGTCAAGAGACTGCTCGGGAGGAAGAGCCGGCCCGAGTGAAGCGGGGTCCAGCCTTCTGGGGCACGCGCACCAGAAAAGATCGGAGCGACCAGATGTCTGGGGAGGCGTGTGTGGCTCGAGCCTGCTTCTGCCCCAGACATGCTCGCGTCGTGAAGAATCCAGGGCTGAGTTTTTGGACCTGGCTTGGGGCCTCTAACTTTACGGGCCCTCGCCGGACCCCGGGGCCGTCAAGAGCCCCGGGGACCGCGCAGCGGGAAAACGTCAGGGCATCACACGTCTGGGCCCTCTGACTCTCGGTCGCTGCCTCTCCTCCTTCCGGCTATACAGCTATACGAGTGACCCTTCGCCGGAGTGGCCTTCTGGTGCAGGCCCACGGGAGTCCCCGCCAGCATTCGAAGGAGAAGGAACGCCATAAGCATAGGCTTGTGGCGCTCCGGGCGGATTTCTGGGATCCTCGGGGGTGGGCAGACCTCCTACCCTGACACGTCGATTAGTGAATTGGCCGTTTTCGGTTCGCGAGAGGGCGTCGCGGCCGTCAGTTCTGCAGGTCCAAGTCCGTCGGTTTCGGTCCCTGGCCGTTTTCACTAAGGGCAGGTTTGCTAGAGGGAGGTTTGTCCACCGCCGAGATCAGCGCTGGACCCCTGGCGGTTTCTTCTGCTTCAACACATTGGCCCGCGCTCTCAGACTCTGGGCCCCCCGAGGGCCCCGCACATGATGGTCACTCCTGCCAGGGGGGGCCACGCCCTGCGCGTGGCCGGTCCTCGAGGCCGCCGGGGGGGGGGGGGTCCCTGCGGGCTCGGGGTGCCCGAGCCCCGAAGGATTGCAAAAAACCAAGAATTGCAAAAAACTGAAGGATTGCAAAAAACCGAAGGATTGCAAAAAACCGAAGGATTGCAAAAAACCTAGGGTTTTTTTGCAATCCTTCGGTTTTTTGCAATCCTTCGGTCGGGTCGCTGCTCTGCATGGTCTCCAGGAGCCGAGGGAGGCGGGGCGCTGGTGCTGCGCGGAGCGCAGGGAGGAGGCCAGCCTCGTGCTGGCCCGCAGGGGGCCAGGGTCTCCCCCATGGCTTCAGCCCCAGCTTGAAGTTTCCCTGGACGCGAGGGAGTTTCGCTCCATTTTCACGAAGGATTGCAAAGGATTCCATTTCACGAAGGATTGCAAAGGTTTTTTTTGCAATCCTTCGTTTTTTTGCAATCCTTCTGTCACCTGATTTCAGCCTTGTTTCAGCCTCCTGCATGCCTTATCCTTCTGCCCCCCTCCAGACTTGTCGTTGGGGCGGGGCGGGCGGTCGGCCTGAGACTTCTTCATCGTCCATGGTCTTGAAGCCTGAAGGATGCAGCAATCTCATGGATGGAGGGCGGCTCGTTTTCGAAATGTGGTTCTGGCCTGAGCACCGCGCACATTCGTTTTGAAAAACTTGCAACAGCTAGAAGGATGGAGGGCGGTTCATGTTCAACATGTGGTTCTCGCTTGAGCGCCGCGCGTATTCTTCGTACAATTTTGCAACAGCTTCAAGGATGGAGGGCAGTTCCTTATCAACATGTGGTTCTCGCTCTAGCGCTGCACATATTCGTTTCAAAAGGTTCAGCAGTTGTTAGGGTTCGCATAATCGATGTTTAGGGGCTGTGTTCTGGCACGACTTAGGGTTGTCAGGATGCAGCAGTCATGTTGGTTCGCGGTGGTGACGTCCCAGGAGCGGTGCTTTGGCAGGGTTGAGGAGTGTCGGGGCGTTGAATTCTCGGGATTGGTATTTTGGCAGGACGGGGGATTTTCAGACAGTTGTCGTTCAAAGGGGCACCTCCCGCAACGAAGATAAGTTCCTGTAGGGCCTTATGAGGAGGGAACTTGGCTGCAAGGTTTATTGCAGCATCATTGACGCGTCTTGGGTTTGCACTGGTCCTCCTCCTACTCCTCCCATTCCCCCCGTCCGTTCTACAGGGCCTCCTGCGCGGTGTTGATGTGTGGGTGTGGGTTTGGTTGTGGGTGTGCTGTGCGTGTGCGTGTGCGTGTGCGTGCGCGCGCGTGTGTGTGTGTGTGTGTGTGTGTGTGTGTGCGCATGTGCGTGAGCGTGTGTGCGTGTGTGTGTGTGTGTGTGTGTGTGTCTGTGTGTGTGCGTGTGCGGGTGCGTGTGCGTGCGCGTACGCGTGCGCGTGCGCGTCCGTGTGCGTGTCCGTGTAGCGTGTGCGTGTGCGGTGCGTGTGCGTGTGCGTTGTGTGGTGGTGTGTGTGTTTGTGTGTGTGTGTGTGTGGTGTGTGTGTGTGTGTGTTGTTGTGTGAGTGTGTGGTGTGTGTGTGTTGTGGTGGGGGGGGGGGGGTGTTGTGTGTGTGCTTGTTCTTGAACGCGTGTGTGTGTGTGTGTGCGTGTGCGCGTGTGCTCGTGTGCGCGTGCGCACATGTGCGCGTGTGCGCGTGTGCGCATGTGCGCGTGTGTGCGCGTGTGCGCGTGTGCGCGTGTGCGCGTGTTTCTGTGTGTATGTGTGTGCGTGTGCGTGTGCGTGTGTGTGCGCGCGCGTGTGTGTGTGCGTGTGTGTGTGTGTCTGTGTGCCTGCGTGTGTCTGTGCGTGTCTGTGCGTGCGTGTGCGTGTGCGTGTGCGCGTGCGCGTGCGCGTGCGCGCGCACGCGTGCGTGCGTGTGCGCGTGCGAGAGTGGGCGTGCGTGTGCGCGTGCGTGCGTGATGCGTGCGCGGGCGTTGTGTGTGGGGTGTGTATGTGTGTATGTGCGCGTGTGAGTGTTTGTTGTGCGTGTGCCGTTCGGCGTGCGAAGCGTGCGTGCCGTGCGTGCGTGCCGTGCGTGCGTGCCGTCCCTGCTTGCGTGCCCTGCGTGCGTGCGCGCGCGCGTGTGTGTGTGTGTGTGCGCGTGTGTGTGTGTGTGTGTGTGTGTGTGTGTGTCTGTGTCTGTGTGTGTGGTTGTGTGTGAGTGTGGGTGTGGGTGTGGGTGTGGGTGTGGATGTGGGTGCGGGTGCGGGTGCGGGCGGGTGCGTGTGCTTGTGTTGGGTGGTGTGCGTGTGTGTGTGTGTGTGTGTGTGTGTGGTTGGTGTCAGGTGTCCTGTGTGTGTGTCGTCTGTGTGTGTGCGCGTGTGTGTGTGGGGTGTGCCGTGCGTGTGTGTGTGGTGTGTGTGTGAGTGTGTTTGTGGTGTGTGTCTGTGTGTCCCAGTGCGTGTCCTGTGTGTTGTTAGTGTGTGTGCGTACGTGTGTGTGTGGTGTTGTGTGCATGTGTGTGCGGGGGGGGGGTGGGGTGCGGCGTGCGTGTGCGCTGCGCGTGTGTGTGTGCATGTGCGCGTTGCGTGTTGCGTGTGTCGTGTGTGTGTGTGTGTGTGTGTGTGCGTGTGTGTGGCGGGGTGTGTGGTGTGGAGTGTGTGTGGGCGTGCGTGCGTGCCATGTGTGTGCGTGCGTGTGCGTGTGCGTGTGCGTGTGCGTGTGCGTGTGCGTGTGTGTGTGTGCGCGTGTGGTTTCTGTGTCTGTGTGTCCCCTATGTGTGTGTGCGTGTGTGTGTGTGTGTGCCGTCGTGTGTGTTTGTGTTGTGTGCCGTGGTGTGTGTGTGCGGGGGGGGGTGGTGCGCGTGCGTGTGCGCGTGCGCGTGTGCATGTGCGCGTGCGTGTGCGTGTGTGTGTATGTGCGTGTGCGTTGCGCGTGCGCGTGCGCGTGTGCGTGTGCGTGTGCGTGTGCGTGTGCGTGTGCGTGTGCGTGTGCGAGTGCGTGCGTGCGTGTGTGCGTGCATGTGTGCGTGTGCGTGGCTCGGGTACAAGGGCCCCATGCGAGCCCCAAGAGGGCCCCTACGTTGTGTCAGTGGCCCACAGAGCATAAGGAGAGCCCCAGGAGGCCTCCATAGGCGCCCCAGAGGTTTCTCAGTTCGCCATTATTCGCAGCAACCTGGGCTGACCCAAGCTTCGGTGTGATTGGTGTGCTCCCTCTGGGGCTCACTGCTGCCCCTCCTCTTCACGTAGCGCGCTACCCCCTCCCAGCGCCAGACATCGTAAGCCCACGGTGTCCACGGTCCCGTCTTGGATGGGGCAACCACGGACCAAGGTGAACCCGCAAAGCAGTTTCCCAGGCTACCGAGGGTCTGCGTTGCTGCCGGATGTCATCCGCCACAGCTCCCAGGTTAACCAAAGGGCCAGATGGCGAAGGGCCCAACCAAATGCATGTGTGAGTATCGCCGTTGTGGGTATCGCCTTCGGTGGATCTCCTTATGGGATCATGAGGCGTGTAACGGGTGTACCGAACTTGTGCGGGGACGCATGAGGGCACAGCCATTGGGGCCTTCGGCGGCGCTACATATGGGGCCACGAAACGCGCGAGGGGCGTGGCGCAAGGGAGCGGGGCCGCCATCCGCGGTGGAGCCCTCTGTGGGGCCACGACACGTTGTACTGGGCGGGGGGGACGCATGCGAACCCCGCCAATGGGGCCTGCGCACTATAGAACGATTCTCGCCCACCGGCACGGGCGGCACCGGCACCGGCACCGGCACCGGCACCGGCACCGGCAACCGGCACCGGCAACCGGCACCGGCACCGGCACCGGCACCGGCACCGGCACCGGCACCGGCACCGGCACCGGCACCGGCACCGGCACCGGCACCGGCACCGGCACCGGCACCGGCACCAGCACCGGCACTGGCACCGGCACCGGCACTGGCACCGGCACCGGCACTGGCACCGGCACGGGCACCGGTACCGGCACCGGCGCCTGCGCCGGCGGCATTGGCACCGGCACCGGCACGGGCACCAGCGCCGTCGCCGTCGCCAGCGCCAGCACTGGCACTGCACCCGCACCCGCAACCGCACCGGCACCAGCCCTGGCACCGGCACCGGCACCGGCA